TATCAGTGATCGGGGGTAAAGTAGGCACAGCTAACGCCTACTCCAGTCATCGCTAATCCTATGTGAGGGAAATGGGGGGGGGGGAGAGGGAGGGACAGGGACCACCAACTCGGGGAGAAAGCTCTGGAAATCCTTGTCGTTGCCAATGCGAGGTGGACGGGCCCACAGCTGTAGTAGCGTGCCGCTTTTTGCGAGCAAAATGTGCACCGGAATGGGCCGTAGTAATACCATGGTACCGTTCTCGGACTCCGCAGACGCTGCTGCACGGCCGATCTCGCTCTTAGTTGGTCTCTGCGTCAAAACAGGTCAGGCGAACGCGACGGCCTCACGACTATCTTTGCTACATATGGTGCACGCGCGCTGCCGCCGCAATGTGGATCTCCTGACCCGCACACATGACTTCTGAAATTCTGCCAAAACTTGTCAGCGGCTACAAGTATACAAAGAAGGGTGCTTATAAACCTTCTGGTACTTTTCGGTTCCTCATTCATTGACATAGCGGTCCGTTGGCCATGATACGACAACCTACCGGCTGTTGGCCAGCATCAAACCGAAACTCTTTTTATAGTCATGGTACGTGCAAGCGACAAGGAGTGGGAAGGGGCTTGAGCTGGGTCGCAACCAAAACAGTCCTTCCCACCAATCGTTGCGGGCTCAGAATGACAGGACTGAAGGAAGGGACCTTCTTGGCAGCGTTCCAATCTACTCCCCGTCACACGCCTGTGGTTTGCACGGATCATGGTTGTATCTATTTTTTGACGAGTTGATGCCATCCTTTCAGGATCAACAACTTTTTGGCATAGATTACGGGAGGAGTACGGTTACGATCTCATCAAACAACTTCCAACAAGAAATATCAACAAAATCGCGAATGATGAGCTGTAGCTAGTTGTGATTTCGATCGATAAATCAACTACCTCATTTCTTTCTCAAGCAATTGTGTTAGGGTTAGTCAGATGGAAAAAGTGAAGTTAATTTGAACAAGAATTGAGTTTCTGCTTCGTACAGCTGAAAAGGCTCAGCAAGATTCCTAAGGAATAGGTGGAATAGGAAGTTCGACCTAGAGAGGCACGGTGACGCAAGCTGCGTTGCATACGCGTAATTCGAACCAGGAATTCATAAATTTAATATGGAGTTGTTGCTACAGTAAGGGGAGTAAACAGAAAATGCAAAGCGCAATGCAGATATGTAACTTCTCATCCCTGAGGAGGGGGAGTAGCATTTGGACATGACATCGGATGGGTAACTCGTGGGATATCACAGTTGGGGGCAACTGTCAACTTGCTCTATGATGGAGGAAATACACGACCGCAAT